ATTTGATGAATAGAAAGTTCAAAACAACAGCATTTATTTGAATTAGAAATCTTGTGTAACATTATAAATGTCTTTACTGGCACTTTTGACCTATTTAATTCACCCTTGCTGAATAAAAGTTTTAATTTCTTTCAAATAATAATAAAAAAAAACAATCTCACTGACCTCAAGCTCATCCCATTCCTGCTTCCTTTAGCATTTAGCATTATGTTATTAGCATTTAGCATTGTGTTCATTTTTTAAAAAAAACACTGCTTTTGCGTAAACTCTGGTTTAGTTCAAAACATTAGCCTAGTTTACTTGCTGTGTACTGTGCCAGACGCTTCACTGCACTAATAGGAAGTGGAATGTGGTTTGTGGCGTTACGAGTGAAGCCACTAATGAATCAGCGTCTCTGACAGAGGGAGGCAGAGAGTCTGTGGTTTGGGCAGGGACAGAGTAAGCATGAGCGTAAAGGATTTACGCAAAACTTTTAGACGCACTCACATTTTCGTTTGGGCATCCTATAGAACACTAATGACAACTTTCGTATAACTTTAGAATCCCACACGGCCTCCACATTCTCTCTAATGGCACAAACACACGTATAGCGTCCTCCTCTCACTCCCACTAGCTTTAGACAGAATAGCCTAGCTAATCAGGCTGAACATCAACATTCATTTTGTTGTTCCAGCTCAAGCTTGATGTTGTCCTCCCGTTTTGTAGATTATATCATCAAGTTATGTAGAGTTGATTTATTTAGCTGACTTGGATTCTCTGGCTTCTTTGAATCTGTCATGGTGGTTTAAAATATTCCAAATCAAATTCTTTGGCGGACGATGGTGGCCTATTCAGAGTGATTTTATTTATGCTTACAAGACAAACAATCGTTCACACAGCAGATTCGTAATATATCACTGTTCTACATTTAACTCAGTGACTGTTATATATGGGATAAAAAATGAGCTTATTACACAGACATGTTCTCTGCCACTATATAAAGATGATTAAGTGTCACTACTTATTACGAGCCATTCTTTACTGTAGCCTACCTCCCAGGAAAATATCATCAATAGAGGCCATGTTTGCTTAAGTACATAACAGTCCTGAAGCTGTTTCTATTAAGAATTACAAGGTTTTAATAGGTGCTTAGAAATACTTAGAAATACTCTTAAATAACAGCTACAGGCTTAATGGAATAATACACTGAAAATGAATGTGAAACAAAATTGAATTATATTTCAGCTGTTTTGGTCCATATGCAAGAATACAAAACAATATTGGTTTTTATTGACTTAAATTCAAATTCATTCTCTTTAATTGAGAGGTTGATGGGTGTGTGTAGATGTATAAATAGCAAATAAATCTGAAGTGCTGTCAGATGTGAAATATGTTCTGGCATGTGGTGCATATTGATGTTCTCATGGTTGGCGGAACCCCTCTGAATCAGCTGTCAGATCAGTTTCCCGCATACACACTTTATTCAAGAGCACAGACTGTTTTTGAGAACCATGCAAGAATTTTATGATGGATTTCACGATGTGAGATTGCGTTTCCTCCCTCGTCTAATATAGCTACTGCTTCCCATACTTTACTCCTTCACAAAATGAGAAGAGAATGTCTCTAATGTGATCATACAAGAGGGTCTTGACAACACTGATTTATATAACACTTCAGAATTGGACTACACATAAACACAGCAGTGTTCAACACGCTACACTACTGTTTTAAATACTTTTAACTTGATCAAAACTGACAGTAAAGACATTTCTAATGTTACAAAAGATTTCTGTTTCAAATAAATGCCGTTCTTCTGAACTTTATATTCATCAAAGAATAAAAGAAAAGGAAAAAAAATTTTCACAGTTTCCACATGAATATTAGGCAGCACAAGAGTTTTCAACGCTGATAATAATAAGAAATGTTTCTTAAGCAGTAAATCAGTATATTAGAATGATTTCTGAAGGATCATGTGACACCGAAGACTGTAATGATGCTGAAAATTGAGCTTTGCATCACAGGAATAAATTACATTTTAAAATATATTAAAATAGAAAACAAGTATTTTAAATTGTTGTAATATTTCACAATGTATTTTTGTTCAAATAAATGCAGCCATGGTGAGCATGAGAGACTCTCAAAACATTGAAAAATCGTACCGACCCCAAACTCTTGAACAATAGTGTGTGTTTCCTCATACAGCTGTTGTGATGCCTCTGGCCTGCCCATTGAAACTCTATCCATGTACTGTCCTGTCACTGTATGCTGATCTATAGTGCCGACATTCCACAGGCAGTGTGAGTGTGTGTGGAAGAGACAATTTAAGAGACCACAAATGAGTGTGTTACCACTACCCCATGGTTAAAAAATGTCTCAATTAACAATTTGAAGTGTGAAAGCCCATATATGTGACCCTGGACCACAAAACCAGTCTTAAGTCACTTGGGTATATTTGTAGCAATAGCCAAAAAAACATTGCATGGGTCAAAATTATCGATTTTTCTTTTATGCCAAAAATCATTAGGATATTAAGTAAAGATCATGTTCCATGAAGATATTTTATACATTTCCTACCGTAAATATATCAAAACTTAATTTTTGATTAGTAATATGCATTGTTAAGAACTTCATTTGGATAACTTAAAAGGTGATTTTCTCAGTATTTTGTCCTATCCTAACAAACCATACATCAATGGAAAGCTTATTTATTCAGCTTTCAGATGATGTATATATCTCAATTTCAAAAAATTGACCCTTATGACTGGTTTTGTGGTCCAGGGTCACATATGTGCAAGGAAATGGCTAAGAACAACTTTATTAGTGTGTAAGTCATGTCATGAAAACTGCAAGCAAACACTCAAAGCTACTGACAAAATCTGTACTGAGCTGACTCTGCCTATTTATGCCACAAATCTGTCTGAACACAAATATGTTCCAGCTGAGCCCTGTCAAACAATGGAGAATTACAGTATTCATGGGGAAGTGTATAGCCGTGGCAGCTAGTCCATTACATAACGGAAATGCCAGCTTAATTGCCTGTTAACACAAGCTGCAGATGGCATTGAATGTTTGTCACACTCAAGTGCACCCAGAGGGCTTTGCACTAATATTGCCAGTAACTAATCAGGTGCTCAAAGCTGCAACTGTGGATCAGGATACTGTAAAACATTTTGAGGTTGGATGGACAGGACTTGATTTTACCCATTGGGAATTGGATTGTAAAAAGGTTGGAATTACATATACCACAATGAAGCCAGATGGATGATGAGTTGAAAAATAAGGAAAATTCATGTTATTTCAGGAAAAATAATCTAGTTTTGATTTGAATTAAGATTATGTTTCTTACCCCATTGGCAGATCTTTTTGTCTTAAGCAAAAACTAGCACATTTTTTGAAAAAAAAAATAAAAAAATACAAGACTTAATATTTTAGGTCATTTTGCTTCTCAGGTAAATGCATCTTGATTCAAGAATGTTTAGATATTTAACAAGACAAAAATACTAAGTAAGAAAATCATTTTTTGCAGTGTTGATTCATGAGTCCATTTCAATTCCTTCTCTGAGGTTTCATATGAGTTTTCTGAAATAGGCAACACGGTCTCAAGAGATATTGTATCTGTTTTACAGGTCGTACAAATTATTAAGAATTTCGTACCAATTCACCAAAATGTAAAATAGTGTATTGAAAATAAGATAGCTTGGTAGTAAATTACTAGACCGGTTCTGGATAGCGCAGATGATCCTTAAATAGTCTGTGTTTTGCTTCCTTTTCTTGATGACCCAGAGACTATTATTGGTGCTTTTAGTGTCTTTGTTTTGGCCTCAACAACTTGGGCCTTCAAGTTTTTGAAGGCAACAACTATAAACCTTCATGGCATTAGCTGGGTCACGCAGCAAGTTATGAAAATCCTTCTAGAGTGTTCTTCGACTTCCTGCATTAGTTCAAGATGGGAGACAATTGGAAAGTACATAGCCACTTAGTAAATGTATTAAGAAGTGCTTTAGGCAATCTATAACCTGACATCTTGCGCTACAGTGTGTCTTATCGGCTACATCTAACCAATACTTCATAATAGTTTTCATTTAATATGGCAAGTTTAAAACTTAATTGATTTTACTATGGAATCCTGGGTCACATTAGGACCACAGTGGGGCCATTGCTTAAGTTACTGAGACTCAAATAGTGTTGACAGCGTTTTCACTCCCTGCGTGTAACTCGTTTCTCTTGGCAAGTTATAAATCTGTCAGTGGCAGTGGGATATCCGACAACTGCATCTTATTTTTATGTCTTAATGCTCTCTCTCTTGTTCTCTCTGTCTGTCTTTAATCCATTATGTCTGCTCCCTGTTAGCCTCAGTGAACATGAGAGACACTTTATCAGTTATTGTAAGAAGTGTGTTTGGAAATCCTCAACTGTTGCTATTTTGAAGTGGAGCAACATTATCATAACATTATCTTGACATAATTTAAATCTGTTATCTTGTTAACATGTCTATTGGGTAACATTATTTAGTATTCATATGAGACAGATACAAATGCTATGATTAGATCCCACCACACACATTCCTTCCACACCTCATGCTTCATGTTTGCAATACTGATAGTGACTAGAGAGAGGGAAAATGTGTGTAATGCACAGTAAAATTAACACTTAGCAGGCACATCGAGTGTATTCCTGGTGTCCAGACTGTCTGGTGTCAGTCAGAGTATTACTACGAGGACACACACACACACACACACACACACAGACGCCACAGTTTCTTGCTGTTGTCTGTCATGGATCCATATTAAGGTCTATGTCGCCATTTGATACACAATAAACATGTTTATAACAGAATATCCTCTATATCTGTCACTGAATAAATATAACCTGTGCTAGTCATAGAACTGCTAGACAAAAATACACGGTTGCTAAACAGTTTAGGCACTTTAGCAGGTGGTATTGGACATTAAACAACTATTTATGTAGGTGTAGATGAATCAATTTTGAGATTATTAAGAATAGTCTGATGTGTTTTACAGGTGAAAGTGTCCTTCTTCAGAACACAGTTCAGTGGAGATCTTCATTATGAACACAGGTAAGTCTATTATTAAAATACCTGTGTACGTTTTTAGCCACTAATGCAACAAACCAGTTATTGTGCATTTTTAAGAAACTTGTGTAAAAATGTTGTAACATTGTAACATCTTGTGTCAGAAAGAGGTGCAGTACGTGCTTCTTGATTGTCCACCACAATAAAAGGTCAAACCAAATGCATTGCATTGTGGGATATGCTATAATTTTCCACACAGTAAGCTCTGTTCTGCTCATTACTGCTCATTTTGGAAAATAAAGTAATATTATTGGTCCGAAATCAGGCTCCATATTACTTTAGGTATAATACATATAAAATGTGTTCACATCATGGTTTGGAAACAATGTCATTATAATCTGTCATCTTTCCCAGAATGCTTTGCAAATCAGTTACTGCACAAGTTGTATGCTGTTCTGTAAAGGAAGACTTAACTTTTAATTGCTACAACACAATACCGTTCAAAAGTTTATAGGGTCAGTAAGATTTTTGTTTTATGTTTTTTTCTAAAGAAGTCTCTAATGTTCTCCAATTACATTTATTAGAGTGAAAACAATAATAGCATGCATTTTAATACAATTATAATTAACTTTAAGTTTTTTATTTATTTAATATATTTCTAAAATGTAATTTATTCTTATAATTGCAAAGCTAAATTATTCCAGTCTTTAATGTTGCATGACCCTTCAGAAATTTTTCTCATATACTGATTTGGTGCTCAAGTAACATATTTTTTTTATTATTATTATCACAGTTGAAAATTATTGTGTAGCTTAATATTTTTGTGGAAACGGTGATACATTTATTGTAACAGTATACATGCCTTTACTGTCACTTTTGATCTATTTAATGCATCCTAGATAAAAATCTTAAAAAAAAAAAAAATAGATAAATAAATCTAACTGACCCCAAACCTTTGAACTGTAATGTTCATCATTGAATTTTATTATTATTATTTATTTTTATTTTTTTGCATAATATTTTGCTGCAATAATGTTGCATTGACAATGCATGTGCTTTGCTTTCTGTTTGTTTTGCATGTGGGCTTCTGTGTGTGCGTGTGCAAACAAACATACTCCAGTTAGCGGAGGACGTGCTCATAAAAGAGCATCCCTGTCGCTCACTCTCTGGCCTGTGAAGAGGGTCCAGAGCTCACCCAACCTGTACGCAGCTGCAGGTATCAGTGATGGAGCAGGGCTGTCTAATAGACACAGAGTTTTAGAATGTCTTATCTCCTTTAGCTTACCATTGTTTCATCTGCCTTCATTATTTAAATGAGTTTTCTCCCCGTGTTCTGTTTATATGTGCTTGTTTTACGTTTTTATGTTCACAACATCTGTTTTGTTCCATGTCTTGCTGCATTTGTCTACGTTATCCTTTTTTTTCTCTACTTAGCTCTTAGGAGAAGAGAACATTACTATTTTCTGTGTTGTCAATGATACAATTTTAAAGGAATAATTCACCCCAAAATGAAAATTCTGTCATTATTTACTCTCTCTCAGTGTTGTTCTATGTTTTTGAATTATTACTTTGAGGCCAGTTCCATGTTGCCTCTATAATATTTTTAGTATTTTAGTATATAGTATTTTAGTTTAAAGGGGTCATATGATGCTGCTAAAAAGAACATTATTTTGTGTATTTGGTGTAATGAAATATGTTTATGGTTAAGGTTAAAAAAACATTATTTTCCACATACTGTACATAATTGTTTCTCCTCTATGCCCCGCCTTTCTGAAACGCGTCGATTTTTACAAACCTCATTGGTCTGAAAAGCGAGGTATGCTCTGATTGGCCAGCTATCCAGAGCGTTGTGATTGACCGAATACCTCAAGCGTGTGACGGAAATGTTACGCCCTTACCACATTGTGATGCCCTGTCAGGTCGGAGCGATGATTCAAAAACATGAAAACCCATTATAAACGAGGCATTTGTTGCATCCAGTGGGGACATAATTACTGATTATAATGACTTATACTGTCTTTTTACGCGTTACGTTGCGCCGCGTAAACATAAAACCCAGTCTGCATTTGTGATCAGAGAAATGACAAACAACAAGTGCTACTCTACACTGCCCAAAAAACTCGCTTTAAATATAAAAAATATAAAA